GTAGATAGCCGTAGACCAGTTCAAAAGAAGTAGTTTTAGAAGCTATGTGGTAGGAGGTGTTGAAACACCATTCTGCCCAAGCAAGCCACTTAACCCAGTTTCGAGGTTGCCCTTCCCCAAAAAGCATATGAGATAAATCTCTAGGCACATATTGAACACCTCAGTTTAGCCATCACTTTGGGGGTGATACCCTGAACTCATACACAGTTTAGAATTCTGCAATGTGAAAAATTCTTTCCAAAAGACAGTTAAGAAGATGGGGTCTCTGTCACTCACTATAGTCTAAGGCATACCATGCAACTTAAAGATATGGTCCACAAACAACTGGGCAATACCAACAACAGTGTAAGGATGAAAGAGTGCCACAAAGTGTGCATACTTGGATAACGATCATAAAGCACCATGATCACTGATTTACCTTTGCAAAGAGGTAATCCAACTATAAAGTCCATGCTTATATCATTTCATACTTTAGTGGGAATGGGTAGAGGCTGCAATAAACCTGCTGGATAAGTGGTTTCATACTTATTTTGTTGGCAAATGTGGCAATTAGAGATAAATTGCTTAACATCTCTCTTCATACCCTGCTAATAAAATTGTTTCTCCAACCTGTGATAGCTTTTCAAAACCGTTTGATGACCACCAACAAAAGTGGAGTGGAACTCAGCCAAGAGCTTACTTTTCCATTTAGAATCTGAACTCAATACTATTCTTCGCTTGTATCACAAAAAACCAGTCACAAAAGAGAATTTGACAAGTAGAGAGCTGCCAGTGGTAGAATTCCTACTATCCAAACATTTCTCAAGTTCTCTGAATAACCCACTCATCATGCTCATTGTACCTTAGAATGTCATCTAACCAACCTTCATAGGGATAAGAGATAGAAAAATACTTCAATAAGGAAATGGCACTCAAGTCCTCACTTGTATAAACTTCATGCATTCTGGACAAGGCATTCGCTACCACATTCTCATGTCTAGCCTTCTAGTATATCTCATAATCGAACCCTAAGAGCTTAGAGACCCACTTTTGTTGGAAGGGGTGTTGGCTCTTTAACTTAAGAAGTATTTAAGACTATGGTGGTCAATCTTGATCATAAAGTGCCTGCCTTGGAGATAATTCTGCCATTTTTTAACTGTATAAACAATTGCAATTAACTCCCTCTCATAAGTAGACAAGGCTTGGTTTCTTGGTCCTAAAGTCTAGCTAGCAAATGCAATTGGCCTCTTATCCTGTTGTAGCACAACACATATTCCCTCTCCTGAGGCATCACACTCAATCTTAAAAGTTTTAGTGAAGTTTGTAGGGCTAGCACTTGTGAAGAGGCCATGGTAAGCTTGAACTTTTCAAAAGCTGCATTGGCTTCACAATTCCATTGAAATCCATCATTCTTTGTGAGGTTATACAAGGGTTGACAGATAGTACTATAGCCAGGTATGAACTTACTGTAGTAACCTATCAATCCAAGGAACCCCTTAATTGCTTGACTGTCTATGGTTTAGGCCATTCCTTGATTGCTTGTAATTTAGCTAGATCAACTTCAACCCCATTACTAGAGACTATATGCCCCAAATATTTAACTCTTCTTTGGCCCATAGAACATTTAGATTTCTTGAGATATAGTTAGTTGAGTTGCAAAATATGGAAAACAGTCTTGAGATGTTGCATATGTTCCTCCCAACTTTTATAAGCAAATCATCAAAGAAGACCAACACAAATTTTCTTAAGTAAGACCAACACATGTCATTCATCAGGCTCTGAAAGGTTGCAGGAGCATTAGTAAGGCCGAAAAGCATCACTAAGAACTCATAGTGACCTTCATGAGTCCTGAAAGTTGTTTTAGGCACATTATCAGGGTGCATTAGAATACGGTGGTATCCAGATCTAAGATCAAGCTTAGAGAAATAGGTAGCACCATAAAGCTCATCAAGTAGGTCATCGATCAAAGGAATATGATATTTATCCTTGATTGTCAATGTATTGAGTTCTCTATAATCAATACACACGGACCAGGTTCCTTCATTTTTCTTCACTAAAAGGACATGAAATGAAAAGGGGATGTGACTTGGTTGAATAAGCCCTGCAGCAAGCAATTCTTGGATAACCTTCTCGATTTCAGTCTTTTGCAATAGACCATAATGATAAGGCATTTTTGGAGGTTTAGCACCAGGCACTAATGGAATATGATGATCATGCATCTTTGAAGGGGGTAGCTGAGAGGGTAACCCAAACAAGTCTTCAAAGTCTACAATGAGAAGTTGCAAATCTTGTAGTTGAGATGGTACTAAATCACTTATTTCTCCATTTAGATCTTCCATAGAATACAGAAAGAGACCTAAGTGTGAGTTGAAGAGTTTCTTATCCAAGTGGTGGAGGGACACTTCATGAATAAGTGGTTCCTCATGAGGATTATGATACAACTTATAACACTGCCGATTCTTTGTGAACTCCATTGTCAACAATTGGAAATCCCAAAGGACAATGCTGATTGTAGAAGACCATTGAACCCCCAATATAACATCACATCCTCATAGAGGAAGGGAATAAAGGTCCACTTCACACTTATACCCTCCCAAAGAAAGAGAATAAGACATAAAACAGCCAGAACTTTTCACCTTTCCCCCATTTGCAATCATAACTTCAAAACATTGAGTAGATTGAGCTAGTTGCCCCACTACCTTAAAAGCTTTGAATCTATGAAATTGTGGGAATTACCAGAGTCCAACAAAATCCTAACAGATTGTCCATTCACCAAGCCATTAACCTTCATTATGTAAACAGATTGCCTAGCACTAGTACCATAAAAGGCATACTCACTCAATTCCATGGATTGTAAATCAGGGTTAGGTTCACCAACACATTCCTCAAACAGTCCAGGATCAAGTTCATCAATCACAAGTAACTGTTTAAGACCACATTTGTGACCCTTAGTCCATTTATCTGAGCAAAATCAACATTCCCCTTTCTCGCTTTAGTTGAATCTCAACGAGACTTAATTTCTTAATAGGCAAGGCTCCTGTTCTAGGTACAGTGTGAGGATTAGTCCCTATAGGTTGAGGCTTAGGGTTCATGGTAGCTATATTAGACCTCTTCTAAAAAATCTTGGTATCCAATTGCACTGCTATAACTATAGCATCGTGCATAATTTCAAGCTTAAGAAGTTTCACATCAAATTTCAATTTACGTTTAAGGCCTCCCAAGAAACAGCTCTTCAGGTGAATCGAACCCAAATCACTAGTTCGATTAGCTAACCTCATGAAATTAGCTATATAATCTTTTAGTGTACCTGTTTGGCGGAGCTTGAACAACAATTTAGCATTTTAACCAAATTTAAATGGACCAAATTCTTGATAAAATGCTCTGGTGAAATCCTCACATCGTGGTATGGTGTGCGCATAGTCCATCCATTTGAACCATGGCATCGTTTTCTCCTCAAGGTGGAATGAGGTCATTAGGACTCAGTGATTGTCTTGCGTGTTGTAGAACAAGAAGAACTGGTTGACCTTGTAGATCCAGGCTAACAGATCATCATCGTCAAGGAAATGAGGGAAATCCACATAGGGAGTCCAAGATTGGAGAAGAGTATAACCTCCCGTAGTCTAATTCAGACTTCATGGTAGTTGAATCAGATCTAGCTCATGCGGTGGGAATGGATCAGGGAAAATCAGAGCGGAAGAGCTTTCACCCTCTAGGCAAAATGAGAGTTCACGGTGAAACTGCCCGAAATACATCGAAAGATGATTATCCAAATGGACAGGTAGTTTGGACTCCAGGACCTCGGAGACGGTAGTCTAAACATACGAGTTCATCGCCTCAGCAACGATGGAGTGGATAGAGGCAATGAGGGCCTCCAGAGCTGAAACATGAGCATCTATGGGTGTTGCGTGAGCAATAGCGGGTCGGCGGGGCATACACACAAGAAGCGAACCAAGAGAAATTGGGTGCTACCAATGTTAGCACTCAGAATCTGGGTTCGACGTTAACCTATGGCAATGGAAGTTACACAGAGAAAGAGAGAGAGAATAAGGAATTTCAATATTTTTCATTCATGATCGTTGCCTCCAAAATCGAGAGGTTATAACAAACTCACCAAGCAAGTGAGTGCTAACTCAACAATACAGACAAAACATATTAAAACTATCCTCTCAACTTACTAAAATACTACTAAATCCCAACTTATTACATTCCCATACTAAAACTACTTTTTCCCATTTGCATTTTCGCCTCCTTCCTTGTGATCAAAGCAATCACAGAATTGGATCAGAACAGTGACCCGGATGAGTAGCATTAACCCTTCTTCTCCAATGACCAAACAAGAAACGGTTGTCGAGAATCTCCATCATCCCGCAAACCTAGCGCCTTTTTGGCATCTGGGTCGACCCAAACGATGGCAAAGACAAGTCTTTTGCTATCTTTGCTCCACTTTGCCCCTCCCATCTCCTTTTTCCTCACTTCCAACAACCAGAAAATCCAGAAAAATTTGAACCCAAAAAAAAAAAAACAAATTGTGGGATGAGCTTGAATCAACGATGAGATTGATGTGGAGCATAAACCCTAGAAAACATAAAAATCCCTGATCGCAAACTTTTTTTTATCTTTCACCTTCGAGCCAATTACATAGGAAAATGGTGTCGATTATGAAGATATACAGTCGATTATGAAGCTGTGAGAGGAAATGAAAAGGTTGAGAGGGTGGGGGAGGAGGAGTTGGATGGAAAGGAAAAGGAAAGAGATGGAGAAAAAGGAGGAGAGATAGTTTGACCAAAGAAAAGGGAGAGACGGAGAGAGTTTTTTCTTCGGAAAAAAAAAAATTGTTATCTACTTTTAGTCGGAGACTACATCAAATGCTTTATTAAGTCCAATTTAGTCTATTTTAATCTAATCCAGCTTAATTCTTAAAACTAATTCAGTCTGAGATAATTCGGTAAATTAAACGCACCAACAGTATAGAACATGGTCATAAAGATAAAGGAAGGAAAAGATTAGGCGCCAAGCGAAACGACACCGTGCGTTAAAGGTTTCCATCACAACCCAGAAGGTCCAATACACATTGGCACAAGAAGAAAGCGGTGTTTGGGTTTTGTGTGAGACAAATGCCAGTAGCAGCGATAACGCCACCTAATTTCAATCTCAGTTTCCAGAAATACTACCAGAAGGTAGCGCCGACCAAGCTCCACCAAGGCATTCGAATCTTGGTTTCAATTGCAGGAGTAGGCTGCTGCGTCGCCACCGGAGCCAATAAAGCCATGGTCACCACCGCCGCCGCAACCAGCAGCAATAGCAACAGGAGTGGTGGAGGCGGCGCGTATACGGGCATCAAGGAGATAGTGAGATTCGAAAAAGAGATCAAGAAGAGCAAATTCATCGCCGTCGCTGGTCCCATCTCCGACGAACAATCCGCTCAATCGTTCCTTTCCCAGGTACGCTAATTCTACTTTTGTTCTTTGATTTCGTCACAAAAGGAAAACCCGTGGCAAATGAAGTTTTGGTGGTTTAGGTACGAGAGCAACGCGCTACTCACAATTGTTGGGCGTACAAGGTTAGGGTTTGGGTTTTGAAATCGTCCATTTTTTTTTCTTTTGCTTGTTATTTGGTAATCTGTTTGTATTGTTTTTTTAATTAATCAAATGAGGTACCGATCAGGTTGGAGATCAATTCCGGTCTAATGATGACGGTGAACCTTCCGGAACGGCCGGAAAACCAATCCATTCTGCTATTGAATCTTCAGGAATTGACAGAGTTATGGTGGTTGTCATCAGGTAACTGCATTTCTTTCTTCAATGAAATGCATTCGCTTCCGTTTGTTTTACAAATTTATTCTTAAAAGTGTGCACTTTGTTCTCTGTTGTCTGCTTTACGCTTATTGCTACTGCTCTATGCATTGAGTGTTGTATTTGATTTTATTTTTATAGATATTTTGGTGGTATTAAATTGGGAACTGGAGGACTCGTCAGGGCTTACGGAGGAGTTGCCTCTGAATGCTTGAAAAATGCCCCAACTTGTCTTGTGAAATCAAAGGTATTAGCTCCTTTTTCTTTTATGCAAGATGTCCTGTTTAATTACTGCTTCAGAAAGCAACGGGACCGGGAAAGGAAAGAACTTCCCTATACTCGTCCATTCTTGTTCGCAATCTACTCTATCAGTATCATAAAATGAATGTGGGTTTTATTCCTTTGCCTCATATTTGGGACTCAGTAGACTTTCACTTCAAAACCTTGGGACCAAATCTCACAAATGTCTGAATAAGTTTCAATTAATTTGAGTTAAGTCCGTATTATTTTTGCCCCATAAATAATTTCATTTTCTGTATCATTAGAACGTTTAATTATATGATCTTATCCCTTCTCTCATCCAGGTAAGAATGGGGGTCGAGGTTCCCTTTGATCTTTTGGGCATTCTATACCATCAGGTGAGCTGGTTTGGATGCACTATGATAACTCTCCCTTTTGCATTTAGATGGTCAAATTTTTGAAGTGTCTCCATATCTGATATTATGATGCGATGTTTACAGCTACAATCTTTTCACGTTGAAGACATCAAGCAAGATTATGAGACCGGTAAAGATGGTATCACCATGGTTACTTACCAAGTTGATTTTGACCGTATTGAGAAATTGGAGGAAGCTATCAAAAACAATTGTAGCCGAGAATTAGTGTTCTATAAGCACTGAAACAGTGGCTTAGCTGGTATAGACATTTCACAGTGAAGCATTTTGAGACTGGGACGTACATTTTGGAAGCAATCATTAGCAACAGTTAAGAAGAGTGTACAGAAAAAAATCTAAAACATCTGCAGCTTTGTTTGGGAAATTTATTGATTAAATTAGTTGGAATTAATGCAATATTAACTTAAATCTTGAAAGCCGATTGTTCACCTGACGTGTTGTCTATAGGACAGTCTTTCTTCATAGTGAAAAGAAATGCTCCATTGCTTGTTCTATGGAAATGGGTGCAAGTTTAGAGTTTAGCACTGAAATACTCTTTTATGTTGTCTATTGCATTGTGGTGTTCTTGGATCAGTTGTGTCAAGTCTAGGTTGATATTTATAGCTGTTCAACGACAGGTCGATTCCATTTCAGAAGATGGATGTTGTCAAACTTTCTGCTGTTTTGCTTCTTGGTCTGTTGGGTAGCGTATTTGATGATATGCTTAGTAAGGTGGTCAATTCAAATGATTGAATCATTGAAGGCGATGGTATTTGGAGTCAGATATACGGCTGTTATGCTACTTGGTGAGAAATTAGCAGCACTTGTCTGTCGACTTCAGTTAAAGCTCGTATAAGCCATCTCTTTTTGTCTTGGATTACCATGCTTTCTTTGTCATTGATAAATCGGACTGTTGCATAATTGAAAACAGAAAATAGGAGTAACTGGAGAAAGACAATTGCGCTTGAGATGCCGAAAACTACCAGAATAAAAATGTTTCAAGAATAGCCGAATAACAGAGTACGTAGCGCCACAAAGTATCGCGGTTAAATGACTACAATCCATGCGTATGCTATGAATGTCTCTGATCCGATCATAATCGTATATTATTACTCCTCGTCAAAGAAAGAAAAAGAATGGAAAAGCGCTAATCCGTTTTATTTCATGATTAATAAGTCAAAATCTGTACAATAACCAACAAATGCTATGATTATTAGCGCTTTTAATTTCAACCCTGATTAGGATTTTAATTACCATACGTAGAATCCGACTTCTCTAATTACATTGTTTTGAACTTTACACACTAAACCTTAACTGAAAACGCTTAACCAGTAAACTTCAATTGAACCGTCTTGTTTTGGTCTCAGTCCCAACTAAATCTTTGGTATTAAAATGAACAGAATCGCTTAATAACACGGTTAAGTCAATCTTCTCCTACATTAAGATCATTTGACTGATGTTCCAGTTTGTTGAGATAGGAGTCTCAATATATTATTTAGGAAGCTAGTGAGCACGTTTCCACCATTACCAATCAGCTTACAATTATAATTTTTTTTAGTACAGCGATATATTTTATGGTGAGGGGGGAAATTTGGCTAAGGCTCATAATCAAGGAAGAAAAAAATCGATAATATCGGCGATATTTCGCCGATATTATCGTTTTTTTAGGGGTCCGATATTTTTTTAACTTCCAAATGATTTTCGTCAAAATATCGCGATATTATCGATAATATCGATAATATCGCGATATTTTCGAAACTATCGCAATATTTGGCACTGTAGTAACCGGAGAAGAACGCCGGAGCAAATTAACCGAATCCCTAAATCCCCAAATTCGAATTCAAAAGCAAATTAACTGAATCCCTAAATCCCCAAATTCGAATTCAAAGCAAATTAACTGAATCCCTAATTCCTAAATCCCTAAATTCGAATTCAGTACAAAAATGAAATTACATGCAGAAAATTCGAATTCTGTACAAAAATGAAATTACATGCCGAGAAGAAGAGAAGTAGGAGCCTGGGAACGTCGTCTTCCTCACGAATCCAAGACGGCTGGGACAACGTCGTCCTCCTCTCACCGACGACTACGATGAGTTTCGGTCCATCGTCCGGTGTCCGCTGCCTCCACTTCTCTCCGGATCCCAAAACCCGCTCGGGTTTGATGCACTATCCTAGAGGAATCAGACATGCATGTTTCGCTCTACCATGGATGGGGTCTGAGAGGAAAAAGAGAGAGAGAGTAGAGAGAAATGAAAGACTTCTTTCCGTCTCTATTGAAATGCGAGAGACTGGGGTTTACAAAGCTTTCAGAAAAGTAAGGTTGATCTTAATCGTTCCTTTGGAATCTTAAGGAGCTCCATGCCGTGATGCATGCCACGTGTTCAAAGCTGGAGTATTCCTATGTCTGCTCAATTTACTCGGTTTGAATTAAAGACGGGAGAGAGCCGTTTGGGCTCTGACAGAGACAAAAACAAATATGCACGCCACTTTTTTTTTTTTTTTTTTTTTTTTTTTTTTTTTTTTTTTTACGGGGAATCCAATGTTTATTTCAAAAGGGCGTGCAGCAAGTGGCCCGTCACGTCCTGATCTTTTCCATACATCCCAAGTGGTTTGAAGTCCTTTCTTTACATTTTGTTTTCTAGTTTCTTTCATTTTGTTTTCTTTTTATAGTCTTGTCCATTTTATTTTTCTAGTGTCACAGTTTTTGTGTTGTGTTTTTTTTATTTTTTTTTAGTTTTCTTTTTATTTTCCACACCTTGAGGACAAAGTGCGAAATAAAGTTTGGGGGTGGGAAATAACATTTTAGGTTTTTAATTTTTGTGTCAGGATAAAATTTTCATTCTTCTTAAGTTAATATCCATAGATTATTTTTTAAACGTTAAAACAAAATGGACATGGTAAAGATTAATCCCACAGTAGAGTCTTTTCTATTTATCGTTGCTTAGACACTAATTCATGAATTATACTTTAAAGTTTTGCACATCACACTAACATGGTTTGTGGGGAGTGAGATTGAAACACTCGCTTTTAGTCTAAGTTTATTTTTAAAATTTTGTTTTAAGTAAAGTCAGTTATTATTGTGAAAAAGAGTAATAATTGTCTCACCCGAGGTTTTGCCTAGTAACCGGGCCAGTCCTGCCTAATCAGCAGTGATTCTCGCGTCAAACGGTAGAGTTTTGGTATGGGGGAGGGTGGTTAGTTGGTTTCGTAGCCTTTTCAGCTCGGGTTAATAAGTCCTTAGGGGTGTTCTACACCTAGTGCCCTAAAGCCCTAGTGATTTGGGAGTCATTGACCTAAAGCTCGCTACATGGGTTGGATCGAAAGTTTAAGTGAACCGACATTGCACGACCACTACTGTTACTTTATCTTCTTCTCCACGTGAAGACCAAATTCTGTCAGAGAAGAACCAAAAATGCAATGTATAAAGTGTAAAATATTGTACTAATTTATTATATATAAATGATTATGGTATGTTTAGACTTCTTTCATTAATTACTACATATTTTCTACACTCACAATGTTTGTCAGCTCGCTATATAATCAAGTTGATAATGTTAAATCCATCATGCAATGCATTTCCTTCAAATATTTTGTGATAAACTAATAGATAATTGACTAAATAAACATCCTGCAAAGTTTCAATAAAAATTTCCAAGTTTTTTTTACAATTTCCGTGGTTTCCATGTAATTTTTATCGATATCGATATTATCCCGATATTTCCATCGATATTTCCGTGTTTTCGGACTACCGATATTTCCGATATTACCGATATTTTCTTCCTTGCTCATAATAAGCAACCTAATTTGGTATTCAATTAGCCATCCAAGAGATTTGGACTTAAGATCTCTCACTTACAAATTGAGAAGAATACTACCATACCGTATTACTAAATGGCCTTGCAATTATATCAACCTTCATATTTTAAGCTTTTAAATCTTCATATATAATTCCACAAAATATACTAACATAAAAGCTATCTCTAACCCCCTCACTCATGACTCATCCATAAATATTCAAAATGAGGAAAATTTTTAGAAGGAGAATAATTTACAAGAAATGGATTTACCATCATATGACGTCTCCATCCAAAATTGAAATGTCATGCGGTGATGATATTGTATTATTGAAACAAAATGTCATGATGACGGTAAATTCGTTTCATATAAATATATGAAACAATATGAAAAAGAAGAAGATTATGGAGAGAGAGAAGTATGAAGAAGAAATATGAGAGAGAGTGATGAAGTAAGAGGGGGAGAGAGAAGAAAAAGGAAAGGTAGGAAGGAAGAGAGAGAGGAAAGGAGGAGCCTATGAGGAGAGGAGAGTGAAAATAACGAGGAAGAAAAAGGAGTACAAAAAAAAAAAATACAAATAAGGAGATAGAGATCCATTGTTAAACAAAATTTGGTCTCTTTCCAAAATTTAATAAAATACATTAATTATTTTGGATCACAAAAAAATTCCAAGCTCTTTTTTTCATTGTTTATTGGCCAAAACATTTCATCAAGATTCCCAGTATAAAACCAAATCATTTCAGTACTCAAAGGTACCGTTTGGTACGCGGATGAGATGGGACAAGACGGAACGGAGATTCTGTTCTATGTTTGGTACCCGTTGGATGGAATTGAACTAAAAATATTAAATGATTAATTTACCCTTGTTCCGTCTGTTGTTTGGTACAATGTTTATGAGTGAGACTGGACAAAACATATTATTATTTTGTTTTTTGAACACATATATGCTTATCTACGACATATTTTTTACATTAACACATGACTTACATTAGCACATGATTGAAGATATGTTATGCCATGAATTCTCTCTTGTATAACAATACCATGATTAGCTTCAACATGGTTGAAGCTTATCGGATCAATGATGTGAAGAGGCAACATTCAACAATATGTATAGTATAAGTGTAAAAATTATGAGTCTCTATTTTCCGGAAGTAGGCTTCCATACATGTCTACGTCTCAGTAGTCTTCAAACAATTAAAAACAATTACAACAATCATCTCAACAAATTATCATCAAATAATAAAAGACAATTACAACAACTACCATCTTAACCAGTTTTCAAGCCCTCCTTCCTCTCCACTCATCATATATTTCTCTTGCAATCCCTCCATTGAGTCCACGTTCTGACTTAGCCCCCACAGAGATTCTGCAGTATTTTTATCTCCCTCTTAATCTGCATTTCGAACCAAACACCGACACTTCAGGAAAAAAAATCATGATAGGATTTCACTCAAACTCTTCCAACACACTATCCTCATTCATTAGGTATCTAACAAATGAAGGAACACTAACCACTCTAGGAAACTTAATTCTATGAAAACACCAGCCGTATACAAGTACAGAATTCGCGATTACATGAAATATAAGTCCGGCATATATGATAACAAGAATGAAACAAATAGAATTACCCAACTGATAAGAACAACAAAATGTCTATCTTTTTCACATGAGAAGGTAAAAGCAATGTAATTCAGAACTTACCTTCTTCTTTTTAACAGGTTTGAGAATCTTGATAATACATTTTTCGTTATCGGTACAGTGAACCCCTTCAAACACTTCACTATACTTTCCTCTCCCAACCTTCTTCACCACCTCGTAATCACCCTGCTCCCTGTACATTAATCTCAATTAATTCAAAAAAGCAAAAGCATTTATCCATCAAAATTCAATTTTCCCACCAGCCCAAACCAGATTTTCCTCCATTTTCTCACAATCCAAGCAAGAACAAGAGAATTTCATCAGTTTATTACCCCCATTAGACAGTGAGGGAGTCCCAGTAGTCCTTGGTTCGGATCACGTTGACATCGGCGTAAGCCCTAGCCTTGGAGGCGGAGCCAGGACGGCGAATCGATTTATAGATCTTCTGCACCAGGGTTTCATGATAAGGATGAAGCGGCCTCGGGGGGCGGTGAAATGTCGTATGGCGGTGAGGGAGAGGAGTTGCTAAGGATGCAATGCAGCGGACGAGAGGCGGTGGGGACGGGTGGTAGTGGTGGGAGGAGAAGGAGAGAGGAGACGGCGGAGGGTGGGGGCGCGCGAGGAAGAGAGAGAAGGCTACGGGTGAAAGTGGCTTCGTGCTGCTGCCTGCTGGCTGGGTGCAGTCGGCGGCTATAGGAGAGGATGGGGATGATGAGGAAGGCTTTGGGAAAAGAAAGGCAGCAACAGAGAATGGATTTGGGTTTGTTTTAGATGGTGTAAATATTGAAAAATATAAGGGGCAATTTTGTGTTTCAAAGAAGTGGAACCAGTCTTTTCAGAAATGAGGTGGAACGAAAATTCAGCCAAAAGACGTTCCTAGTTCCACTGTTTTTAACATATCAAACGTGAAACGGAACGTGTCATCCCGTTGCGTTCCTTCCTTTCTCATGTATCAAACGGTACAAAAGAGAAGATTGGATTGAGAGCCTCAACTGTTGTTCATCTGTGACCCGTGACTCATGTTTTGGCATTTACGTTTCTGCCAAATAAGGCCTCAATGCATAGCATGGTTTCATAGCCTCCTGCCAAATAGTGCCCCTTCTTCTTTAATTATATACACAGCTCATTCGACACACAAAGTGAAAACACCCAATACATCTCTGACCTCTCACATTGCAATTTGCAACCATAGAAAAATAAGTAAAACATTAAAATTCCTTTGAATCCTTTTATCTGGCTTTCCTCCCCTTTTTCTTCCTCCATAGCAAAATCTAGAGCTAAAGAAAATTACATTAATCCTCTCAGATGAGTTCTTCTACTATTTTCTTGCTCTTTCTTCTCACAGTTGCATTTCCTCGCCAAAACCTTAATTTTCTCATCCAAGCTGACTCAACCCTGATCCAGAACACATGCAAAAACACCAAATACTATGGCCTTTGCGTCTCATCCCTCAAATCTGTTCCCACAAGCATAAATGCAGACACAAAGGGGTTGGCAGTTATTATGGTTGGGATTGGAATGGCAAACGCAACTGCCACCTCATCGTACTTGTCCTCTCAGGTAATCAGCTCAAGCATCAATGACACAAAATTGAAGAAGGTCCTCAAGGAGTGTGCCGACAAGTTCGGCTACGTCGGTGATGCCCTTCAAGCTTCAGTGCAGGATTTAGGTTCAGAGTCTTATGATTATGCTTACATGCACATCACTGCAGCAGCAGACTACCCAAGTGCCTGCCACAATGCTTTCAAAAGGTACCCAGGTTTGGCTTATCCTCCTGAACTTGCAAGAAGAGAGAAGGGATTGAAGCATATTTGTGATGTGGCTCTGGGAATTATTGATAATTTTGGCTGGTAACTGTTTATTTCCTACTAGGGTGCTCAATAATGCAAGTTTATTAGATTATTAGGAAAGAAAAGAAAAATTCTTTGTTTTTCCGAGTCATTGTGTGGTCTAAACCATTAATTCTGTTGCAATGCATGTCCTAAACATATATGCGGTTATTTATTCAGATTATATTAATATTTCTCTAGAATATGATGCCCACTTCGTTAGAATCTACTATTATAATTTTTGATTAATTGTCCACTAACAAAAAGTGTTTTGTCTCCTTTCTTTTCTTTGACCATGCTAGAAGATGACTGATGGCACGTTCCCATATAAAGTGATAACTTTGTTCCAGAATTTTCCTTAAGGATACTGATTGTGTTCAACGGTCGAATTTACTTCTCTTCCAGTTATAATTAATGTATTTTCATTATACAAATATTATTATTAGAACTGTTTAATGTTTTTATTATCATTTGAAGATTATATACGCAAAAAAATTTGAAGATCATTTAGCTAGTCATTAGTGTCAAACTGATTAACAAATTTATTAACAAGTAGAACCTCATATGATGAATCGTTCATTTTTTATGCATGTAAATAGCTAAACGATCTCTAAATTGAATAATTTTTTGCACATATGATTTTGTTTGGACTTGATTTTACAATATCAGTCTAGGCATTCGAGACCATTGAATGAGCGAATTTTAAACTGTTGGATTTGCTAAGATAATTTTTAATTATTATTTAAAGGATAACATTATGATACAAGGTGAGTCATGCATCATTAGGACTCCTGATACAAAGTGGTATTTGGTGGAAGATGGTATCTCAAGTGATTAGCTGATATTGAAATTAAATTGTAATTTACTTTGCATGTATGGTTGCACCTGGACAGACGTCATGGAAAAAGAAGGCTTTATAGTTGCATTGGGAGTCTTAATGGGATAAAGCAAGGTTATCGATGGAGTTCTGATGATGATGAGATAAGCCTTGACAGGCTTTTGTTTTGTTTAAGAAGGCACATATAGTAGTCTGGAGGATAACCCTCTGATACGGATAAATTTTCTTTCCGTGAGTTTGAGTTGCAGTTGGACTTTGCAAAATTAGCAAGCCATGCTAAGCAGAGAATATGAATGCTATAAATACAAGTGCTCTGCAATAGAGGACGCTTCTCCAAATCAATACATAAATTGCTCTGCACAAAGCTTCTCAACAACCCTGAGATTTTTTCCTCTTCCTCTTTCTTCTCGCCAACACATCTTCAGTTTGGATAGATAGCACTATGAAGGCAACCGGCGACATCTGCAGTTTGGATAGACAACATTGGAGCCGTAGAATCAACCGACCGAGGAGCACCTTTAGTTTGGATAGACAACATTGCTTCGAGACTGACTGGTTATTTATTCAAGTCTCAGTCAACAAGGATTTTCGAGTTCTTGTTGGTAGAGGTCATCTCATCAGTCTTCTCGGTGAAGTGAGGTGTTACCAGGTTACTACATTCGGCACATTGAAAGTCGAATTGAAATTGAACTTCACTGAACTAGCAACCTTGTCTTCAAGCTCTAGAACTCGAAGGTCGAGACGTGTTCATTCCTTGGCCGTAGTGGTGAGATCAAGAAGTTAGCAGCGTGCCCAACATGACATCAACATATTTTACTCCACAATAGAACTCGATCGACGAGTTGGCATGCCCTGCATATAACTGAATGACGTAGTTAGCTTATTAATTACTCGGCCTGCGCGCCACGTAAGCTTGGTAGTTTTTAGGGTCAACATTTTGGCACGCCTAGTGGGACCCAGTGGTAAAACTACGAAGTTCATATGATATATCAAGATGTCAATCCGGCTCCGTTCAGCCGATTGGACGCATTCCTAGTTCAACTTCATGCGGAATAGATCCTTAAAACATGTGAAGAAAGGCAAAAATCTTTCTCTTAAATGATAAAGGTGAAAGTTCATCATAGCTTACATGATCAATGGTTAAATGAAGATAAAACTCAATTTTATGAATGGCTGGATAAGAAAACAATTTTAGGTTTTGGATACAAATCAATTCCATTTGAAGAATGGTTGGATCAAAAGGTAGGGGCAATTTTCCTTCGGCCATAATCAAACTTCGGCCTAAGAAAATTGTTAAGGCACTTGCCTTGAGACCAAGTCGATCTCCACACTCCCCTGCGACCTATTTTCCTCAGAAACCCGTGTTGTCGTCACGAACGAACCCACCACATTGGAGATTGCCAAAACAACCTTGGAAAGATTGATTGGAACCTGATTAAACACAAAATCACAATGAGCTTTCGAAATAAACCAACATGTAAAAGCCACAATTGATGGAACCCACAACCCGTTAGCAAATGCCCCAAAATTTGAATTAAAAACCTCCTGCAACCACATCCCTACTACTTGATACCATTCCTGTTCACCTTATAATTCAAAACACTTCCAAACCACACTAATTGGACCCACGGACAGAGGAAGAAAAGATGTTCGGTTGTTTCATCCTTACTAAGACAAATGGGGCAAGAAGGGGATGGGGAAGATTGTCTCTTAAAAAGAGAAGCATTTGTAGCAAAGGCATTATGAAGAGAACTCCAAAAAAAATGCCGAATTTTAGGTGGCACTTCCACTTTCTAGATGCTTTTCCATAACTCCACTGGAATAGATTGAGCATGAAGTAGGCGATGATCCCTCAGACTCCAGGACCTCGATTGAATCCATCGATACCCAGATTTGACCGAGTACCTTCCATTCTTGCCCTCAACCTAAATCCATCGATCACATATACTCAAAACACCAATAGGCATTTCTCTAATAGCCTCTTGATCAGCTTTCGAGAGAAATGGTTGTAGAAAATTAATATCCCACTCCCGAGAGATAGGGCAAATGAAAGAACTAACTCAAAGATTTCTAGTCACCTCAACCTCACCTAACGGAGTAGGTGCCCCGAGGGGAGGGAAGGTAACTAACGGTCCACCCAAACTTTCACATCGTTTCCTCCTATTATTTTCCAGTGAGATCCATTAAGAAGCAGGTCACGTCTCGATAAAAGACTACTCCAGGCCCAAGAAGCCCAACCCTTTTTTTTAGCTTCCAAGAATGAGCATGACAGGAAATATTTGGCCTTAAGAACTTGAGCCTAAAGCAAGTCCGGATCACAGATTAGACACCAACATTGTTTGGCCAGAAGCGCATCATCAAACTCCTTGAAGTTCTTGAAGCTCATTCCACCCAATTGCTTGGGAAGCCCTACACCCAGTGAATCTTTCTTCCACCACCCGAGTCTCCCCACCAGAATCCTGCAACCAAGGTGTCTAAATCCTCACAAACCACGGTTGGAAATTTAAATAAGCTCATAGGATAGGCAGGTATAGCCTGAGCAACCGTTTTGATTAAGACTTCATTTCCCGCCTTTGACAAAGTTTTTTGCTTCCATCCTTGCAATTTCCCCATAATTCTCCCTTTAACATAAGTGAGGCCTCGCTTCTTCGAACGACCCCATAACGTTGGGACACCCAGATACGTGCCAGGGTTATCAACCACCGGCATGCCAAGAATAGCACCCAATTCATCGGAGACCCTCGCCGGAGTATTCGCCCCAAAGTACACACTGGATTTTTACATTTTAACTTCCTGTCCCTAAGCATCATAGTACGTCCAAAGAAGCTTGACAAAATTCCTACAATTTTTATCATCAGCCAGCAAAAAGATTAACTTATCATCAGCAAAGAAGATGTGTGATAAGACCGGCCCCGTGGCTTCTATTCGCACCTCATCTAACATTCTATTCTCCACCGTCACCTGAATCATTCTCGATAAAACCTGTCCCACCAAAAGAAATAAATACGGGGATAAAGGGTCTCCTTGCCGAAGGCCTCTAGAAGGAGCGAACTTGTTTTCGGGTTGCCCATTGAGGATGAACGCAAACTTGACAGAAGTCACACACCCTATGATGAGCTTTCTCCACAAACTGCAAAAACCCATTCTCTCCATTATTGCATCTAGAAAGTCCCACTCTACCCTGTCATAGGCTTTTTGTATGTCAAGTTTAATTCCCAATTTGAATTTGTTCTTCGTTGTTCTACCTTTAAGAAAAATGAAAAACCTCTTGGGCAATACCAATATTGTCTTGTATTTGTCTACCCACCACAAAATCATAGATTTCATCAGTGAATTGCGTGGGATGTTATCATCATGATCGCTGACGTTGTACTGGTGGAAGCTGATATACTTAACTGCTGTGAGCATGCATGAGTTAATTGAGTAATGTTATTCATACCATGTTTCTGTATTACATTTTCATACCACCTTAGGTGGCATTTGATGTGGACAACCACATCATTTGAATTAATTAGATTTTTAGAGTATACGAGAAGTCTTTCTCCTCCATTTCCTTGGGTTTTGCACATTTTTCAAATGATGTGGCTGTCCACATCAGATGCCACCTAAGGTGATATGAAAATGTGGTATAAAAATATGGTATGAATAGCATTACTCGAGTTAATTTGATCACACTTCTTGAGTTGAACTGCAGGACTAAGTTGGGTTACCTTAGACTATTGGTCATTATTTTCCACCATTATTTTCAACTATTACAATTGGCGTCAATCAACTTTGCAAAGTGGTGACTAGAGAGCTAGTCACTTGGTCTAAGAAATTTTCTGATTGCACCAGGCCGAGAAAGTTATGATGGTTCGATGCATTGCTTAGGATATGAATTCAATGACTGAGGGTTATTTGTTCTTTACCAAGCTCGGTGATATTATTTTTTTGGTCTTGTCCTTTTCGACTAAGAAGCTTGAAGAACCAGAGTGGAAAAATGAATTTTAAAAGTTCTGCGACCCAGCTTTAAAAGTTTAATTTCCTCAACCATTTGGCTGCGCAAGCTGAAGCTCAAGAAAATTGAAAGGTGATCTTTGGACCCGATTTTACAATATCGGCGTAGGCATTTGAGACCGTTGAATGAGCTAATTTTAAATTGTTGGATTTGCTAAGATAATTTTTAATTATTATTTAAAGGATAACATTATGAATTTTTAATCAAATATTTATCTCTTAAATGAGATAATAAAATTATCTATGTCATCTAGAGCACAACGAGTAGGCATGCAAAATAGGATACTGGAGAATATGTTTTTCTTTTGTGGTATTGCTTTGGCCACGTGAGTCATGCATCATTAGGA